TCTTTGAGGCTGGATGCATGTGAGAGCATTTGCTATCTTGCCCTGGCATCCAGTTTGGCTGGCAGATGGGGAAACTGAGGCACAGAGAGGGACAGCTCCTTGTCAGATTCCACAGGGCTTAGCTCTGACTAGGTAATAGCCCCGTTCAAAAACACTCAGAACTGCTTTCTGACTTCTTTTTGGCTTCCTCAGGTAATCACATATTTCTAAACACTCCCCTCAGCTTCTCCCTGACCTAGCTAACAACTGATACCATTTTCTGATTATTCTCTATGCAACCAGGGGTACGCTGAACATTTTACAGGCAACACTTCATTTAATCCTCCCCAAAATTCTAAATCTCTGTTACCAAATTGCTAAATACGATCATTACCTCCCTTCCATTTTTCAGATAGAAGAGACGGAGTCTTAGCACGACCAGGAAAACTTGCTAGAGGTTACACAGCTTGTGAGAAAGATTTGAAACTTGATCCAACTCTCTGATTCCAGAATCCTTATTCTTACCATGAGGATACAAGACTCCTCTTCCTATTCAATTTTATCTTCTGCTATTTCACTTAAGATTACTCCATCATTTAACCAAAATATTTGAAAAAGGTACAGGAATGGCTTTCTCATTTTCCACATTTTATTCTATCTTCCACTGATCATTTCATTCACCGGAGAGACATCTTCAGATAAGAGTCTCTACTTGCTTTTCAGTTCCCAGTGGGCCTGGGGCCACATCAAACCTTCCCAGTACAATACTGCTTCAGAAAAATGCAAATTTGATGTGTGGACAGTGTTTTTGTCTTAAGCCATTGAGCTATTGTAGGATCAATCCAATTAAATGTCAATGAACCCCCCATCAACCGATCCTAAAGGGATCCAAGCGCCATGTTTCTCTTAAAAACTCTGCCAAGACCTTCACCATTTGGATTTCCTAGTTCCTCTCTGAGCTCTTCTCTCCTTAGGTTATGTCCTCCTCCAGCTTTCCTCTTGCTAATCTTCCTTTTGAAAGTCTTCCTACTTGCCGCCGGGAGGGTGGCACGCCGTGATCGTATAGTGGTTAGTACTCTGCGTTGTGAAAGTCTTCCTACTTAACAAATTCAATTCAGTTCATAAAAATATTGATATTTATCACCAGATTCCAGCTACTCTGCAATTTTTTCTGTTCCTGGAGCATGTAAAGCTTACTTCTGCTTCAGGCCTTCGTCTTTGGCCTTTCCTTGGCAACATTCTTTTCCATGCACCCCACTCCCATTTTTGCATGGCTAATCCCTTCTTTATCACATAGAGCTCGGTTCAAATATCCCCTCTTGAGAGAGAACACTTCCCCTCTCTGGTCACCCTGCCGAAAGTCTCTCCCTCCTGGTTTTATTTTCTTTTGACCCTCTCTGTCTGAAATTATCCTGTTTGCATACCTGTTCATTTATTGACCGTTTACCTCCTTCTGTAGAGTGTAAGCCTTACAAATATAGGAGCTTCATATGCACCTGCCATATCTGCGGTACCTAGAAGTGTGCCTGGCCCTCAACAAATGACTGTTTAATGGAGGAGTGACTTTATGCAAAATTCTTATAAACATTATCTAAGTCCTCCTGTCCTTGCATTTAAATATTTTAAATGCTTTTTATTCTTTTATAATTTTCACAATAAACGTTTTCAGTATTGCTTTTGACTCGATGACTAAAAGTTTCTAGAAGCTCTCCATCTGGGAACTAGTCTGGAAGGACAGTCAAGGAAGATCCAGGTTTGTTTCCAACCCTCCCTGCTTCCCAGCTGAATGACCTTGAGCAGTTGACTCCAACTTCCTTGCCCATAAACTAGGAATGCTCCTATCTGTCTCATGGCACCACTGTGAATACGAAATGAGATGCACACCAAGGCACCTACCATGCAACAAGTATCCTCTCATGTCATTGTTAAGTATATTTCACTTTTATAATTTCACCTAATTACCTGTAACTACTACACAATTAATTTGTTAATTTGAAAAATAGAGAGCTTGGAATATGTGGAAGTTCAGGAAAACCTTATATTTCTCTACGCTTTTTCAAAAACCCAGGAGCCTTTAAGGACGGGGAAGGTCAGTTAGAGGTTTGGTTGCATGGCAATGCAGGGAGGTCAGTGCCCCGCTGGCAGGAAATTCCAGGGAGATGGATGTCACTTCTATCACCAGACCAAAGAGGTTGGGTGAAGGTTAAGAGATCTAATATTTGAGTCAATGGACTGAATTCAAATCTCAGAGTTGATTTCAATCCCTTGCAAATGAGATCATGAGAACAGCTCTAAGCTCCTCAGGGCAAGCATCTCTTGCTCCCATATCCCTTTTGCTCAGTTGTATTCTTCCACCTGGATCGATGAGGCTCTTTTGTAGCAAGTCAATAGGCAGAAGTTTCTAGCTATCTCTTTTCTTTTACCCTGTCCCTGTTTTGTGGCAAGGAATTTGTGGCATTTGGTAAGAAAGATGGCAGCTGAAGGTAGTGGAGAAAGCTCTAGAGTCCGGAGAACGAGGCTCTACGTCAGTTTGTCCCCTTAGATACTCTGAGGTCTTATGCAAGTCACAAAACCACTCTGTGACTCCATGCCTGCACCTGCAATCGGGTAACAATAACTATCCAACCACACGGCTCATCCATTTATCACCATCCGTGGCTGCCCTACCACCATGTCTTAGTAGCCTATTGAGTAAAATCCCAGTTCAACCTGACGTCCAGGGCCTTTTATGGTCACGTCCCAGACTTTTTCTAGCCTTCACTCTCCTGTGCCCTGTGCCTGGACATAGTGTTTTCACAGACACCAGTGGAGAGAATGAATGAAAATGAGAGGGCAACTTTGAAAGAGCTATTTCAAATAATAAAAAGTACTTTAACAAAAATAAGATAATGATGAGAGTCACTCGTATGTCAGGTCTCAGTACAGAGATGTAAATAAAAAAGGATGTATAATGATAAACTCTCCATCTGTTACACAATTAGTCATGATTTGACTGATACCTACTTCTCAAGCTTACCCATTTCAAAACCCAGTTTAAATTTCGTCCCATTCATTGATTCGACAAAATGTCCTGAACGTGTTGAATGCTTTCAGGCTACGCACGAGGGATCATTACCTTTGGGAATTTTTCATGTGTGACCCTTTGGGTGTAATGCCTGCTGTTTTATGTGCCTGAGTGTGAAATGCCATTATGGCAATCATGTTGACCTCAGCCAGGTCTACATTAAGATGACCAGAATCAGACAGACTGGATTACCGCCCAAGCTTTGCTGTGCGCTTTCTATGGGACATTGGACAGATTCCCTTGCCTCATCTGTTAGGTGGGGAAGAATACCAACCTAATATGATTATTAGACATATACATTACGATCATACATATAAAAGCATGTAGCATGAGGGTTGGAGCATCGTGGGGGATGAGCCCATGTGAATATCTGCTTTATCTTGGCCTTGGTTGGACCAAAACGAAACCATTCCTAGTTGTAGTAGAGTCTATCTTGGTGAAACGCATTGTATTACAGCAAAGGTAACAGTTATTGTAAGCCGGTACATATATTTGCTACTCACTGCTCCACAGGCATTCCCTATTTCTTTTTTCTGGCCCCTGTGGCCTCAATCTCTACCCTCTTTGTCCCCCCTCCTGTTATTATAACCTGTAAGGAATCTCGCAAAAGGCTGCTCCTCTCAAGTGGTCTCAGGATGAAAACAGAAAAGATCAGACAGCAGCAGGATATCCTTTTTACAGCTTTCTCACCAGGACAAGTGAGAGGCTGACGGCATCACCCCAAATTACCCAATCAACCGAAAGGGGGAGATCATTTGTTTTTCTCTGGTAGAAACTTTAAACAAGGAATAATATGAGAGAAATGAGTCTTGCTTTCCTCCTCTAAGAATGGTTCTTAGCAGAGAACCATCAAGTGAAATTTAAGTTCAGTTTGACCCAAGTTCTCGTAAGATAAACACACCTCAAATGGAGGGTGATGGGAACCTCATTACTTAGAATTGGACAAATAACCCGAGGCAGTATGATTATAACCTGGCAGCAGCAATGGTTTGCTCAGCAACCTGCCTGAGCCTCTACTGGGAACATTTAACACCACTTGTATTTTGAAATCACCAGCTACATCTACAGGCAATAAAGACTATTATCTCTCCAATTCATTGCTGTTGCACAAACACCCAGTTAATTCAGCTATAACACATCTGCCTAGAGAAATATTTATTTTTGGAGCCTCCCAGGTATGCTTTAAATTTCTCCTAATTGCTACCCATTGAGTTCTAAGTTTAAGTGCTGTTGAGATGGACTTCAGGTCCTTATTCTGTACTGAGAAGTTCACCACTATACAAATGCAATGAGCACATTCTTGAATGACCCAAGTGTGCATTTAGGAACTGCTTCCTTTCTCCAATTGAACAGATGAGATTCTCTCTGAACCTAGGAAGATGAGTTTTTCTCACTGCTCATTTGGCTTCTCAGTAAAGCAAATGGATGGTAAGTGTTTCTCAAGGATCACAAAGAGAGTAACATTCATGCCTCCGGCCTGAGAATTACATTCCATGACTACTCAAGCTATAGGAAATAAAATCTCAGGTCACCTCTTTACATTGTGAGGGTAACAAGCATTCTTATACCATTAAAATGATAAGAAAACTTGAGTCAAGAGAAGGCCAGTTTCAGAGCTGGAAAAAGGAATAAAACCTAGCAGATCTCATTCCCAGAGGGAGGTGCTAAATATAAAGATATCTTAACAAACATAACTTATTTATCTTGCTTCTTCCAAAACCCTTAATTATATATATTTTTCAGATCCTTTTGTGCCTTTAAGAAGCAAGGTAAAGTAACCCAATTCAGAACCAAGAGGCAGGGTTGGGGTGGCTAAGGGGTAAAAGAGAGAGAGAGGTCACATATTGACTCCAGGTTTGCAATGTTTTTGCACTAAGATCCACATTTCCTTGTACACCACAGCACACACCAGTAAATCTTGTCCTTTCTTTCCTTGTCCTAAATCTCAGGAGCTCACAGTCCTTGGGAACACCAGCGTCAAGTGCTCTATGCTCTACATCTCCAAGTTCTTCGCCAATCCTCCCATCACAGCCCATATCCCCTGTGGACAACAAGAAGTGTTTCTACTGGTAAATGTGGAAGAGTCCGGGAAAAGTCAAGGGGTCCTCCTCACACTGCCCCCCCCCCGTCCGGTTTCATAGCAATCTTCAGATTTGGGGCCACGCCCATCCCAGATTCTTAAGAATTTTTTTTTTTAAGATTTTATTTATTTATTTGACAGAGAGAGACACAGCGAGAGAGGGAACACAAGCAGGGGGAGTGGGAGAGGGAGAAGCAGGCTCCCTGCAGAGCAGGGAACCCGATGTGGGACTCGATCCCAGGACCCTGGGATCATGACCTGAGCTGAAGGCAGTCGCTCAACTGACTGAGCCACCCAGGCGCCCCTTAAGAATTTTTTTATTGCAAGACTGGAGTCCAGGCTAGGTTGAAAGATAATATATAGTGATCACATCATAGCTCAGAAAGGAAGGTGACAGTCCAACACAAAGAACTAACATAACACCTTGTGAATATTTAGGCATCTTCTGGATAAAATACCAATTTAATTGAAAACTCATGGAGGGGAAAAAACATGTCTCATTCTTCTTTTCATCTGGGTACCGAGCAGTTCACCTCTACTTGCAAGCTTTCCTAATGTCGTATTCTCACACAGGGTGACTTCTATACTGTTCTTTGCAAGCACATAGTTCCGGGGGCAAAAGTCTATCATAGCAGTTACCACAGGGATTGTTACTGCTGACATACTTGTATGAACTTGACCTTGAGTTCCTAATGACAAGGTCAATGTTCTCATTGTCTAATACAATCTGGCCCATAGTCAATATGCAATAAAGGTTTGTAGGATGAATGCACATAGTAGGTATTCATTAGTGTTTGTTTAACCGAACATAATTGAATACTTAGTAAAGGTACAAATAAAAATGACACTTGGAAAAAGCTTTTTGGGTTATGATTTGTTTGTAGAGAACAGAGTATGAGCTGTTTACATAAAACTGAAGAAATAATCTCATTCCAATTTAAGTCCCCTTTTAAATTAGTTTAGAAAACTAGCCTGACCTTCTGATCCTAAAGCTAAATCAAACTAATGGATGGTTTTTAATAATAACCCCAAGCCAAATAAGAATTACTAACTCCTCAAGCTAGAAAGACCTCTAGAGCTCATCTCAGGATCAATACATGAATACTTTTTGCTATATCCCAACCAGACGGTCAACCAATCTCTATCTGAATTATTCTCACAGCTTTATGACAGGTCATCCTTCACTTCTGAATCCACAAAGGGGCCAAAAGTTCCTCCTTGTAGTGACTGAAATGCATATCCCTACCATGTTCTCCTCATTTGGCCCTCCAGCAAAACACAGGAAGATCTTCTTCTATCCTACATACACCTCTTTGAATGCTTAATGACAAACACTGGATTTCTCCTTTGTCTTTCAGGAATAATCCTTATGCTCCAGTTCCTCACTTTGATTCAAGGATTTCAGACCATGTTCCATTGTGGTCATCCTCCTCTTAACAAGCTCCCCAGTCTGAATATCTGGTAGATCACAAAAAGGCAAAGATATGGGAACAACTGTGCTAACTGGCATTTTTTGTTTGTTTGTTTGCTATTTTTTTTTAAAGATTTTA